AGACTGTAACTGTCGAGCAGAGCTGTTTTTTTATAATTACTCTGCGCTCTTGACTGCGCTGAATGTTTTGTTGCAAAATTCACAGTGTGCTTGATCTATTTTGAACTTGATATTTTCCCACGGTAGCTGAGCTCCTGGCTCTGACTAATTTTCCTGCACTTTAAATTTTTTTTAAGTTGGCAAGATTTTTTTTGTTTGTTACTGAGCTAAATGAGCATGTCTAGTTTTCTGGTAATACACCAGATGTTGTTTATGAATCAGTGCACACATGCAAGAATATCTGTGGTAGATGTATGTATGCCACGTGCTCTAAAAATGATCAAACCCATTCGAATTTGGATCAGTGCTGGAGGAAATTTAATTTTAGGTCACATTTTGCTGCATAATATTGCAAACTTACAATTTAGCAGAGAGTATCTCTCTTACAAGCCGACTCCACAGCAAATAAGAAAAAAATAAATGTAGCTCTATTTATACAGCCCACCGTACATTCCACAGTTCACAGACTAAACCATATGCTGTGTTTGTCAATGTAGATTGTCACCTAGAAGATGATCCACAGTCTCATTTAGAAACATTTCAACAGTGTTTTGAATAAATTATAATGTGGCTTTATTGTGCAAAACATTCACAGACTCCAAATTACAACCTGTTGTTCACTACATGTTCACATTACCAGAAATCACAAAACTTGCTCACAAATGTAATGATCATTGCACTCAGCCTTTAGATTCCACAGAACTCTGCAATTCAGATTCATTATCACCATGTACACTACAAACTGTTGCTCTTCATCTGTAAACAGAAGACGACTACAAACACAAACTAAACAAAACCCCACAGCACAGTACACCTCATCTCTCTCTCGTTTCTCAAGGCTGTCCATCGGAGTGTGTCACATAGAAGCAGTTAGCGTAGAGTATTCCAGAACAGGTTTTCGGTTGAGGACGCTGGTGTTTGTTGATGCAGGATGGTTTTACAGCAGGTCATGTGGTGACCGTTCTGCTTGGGTCACTTGACAAAATGCAGAGCCTCGCACTGAACCACTGATCCACGGCTGCTGTCTAGGCTGGTGAGCAGGCGAAAGCCTCCTTTGAGAGCGAGCATGACCGTCTCCAGCTTCAGACACTCGAGTGTACACAAAAACGTGCTGTCCTGCTTCAGCACAAGCCGAGAGCCCTGCTCCGACTTGATGAAATGCCGGAACTGAATGATGTTGGATGACACCTCGAACTCTTCAGGAAAGCCGTCCAAGCGGCTCTTGGAGATCTGCACCAGGCGGTTCTTCACCTTCTCGATGAAGCTGTTGTCGCTGCAGTAGACCTTCAGACCCTGCGAGCGCTCGTGGCTGTCCGTCACCTCCAGGAAGGCGGGCTCGTGCTGCGTAGCCTGCTGCTGCTCCCAGTCCTGCAGGGCTTGGGCCAGCTCGCTCAGCCGGTAGAAGTCGGCCTCACGTCGGAGCAGCTCGGCTTCCTTGAAGTCGTCGGGCAGCACCAGCTCGCCCAGGCGCAAGAAGTTCAAAACGTGCCGGAAGATGGGCCCGTCGCGGTCGATGAAGGTGTTGCCCATGGAGTCCACATGCACCACGGGCTTCTTCCCCGTGACAATCTCTTCCAGCAGAGATCCAGGATGCTTAGCCAGGGTGTGGCGCTGCGCGGCGTACAGGTAGCCCCCCACGTTGATGGTGATGGTGCCAGAGGAAGGTTTCTTA